TGGGAATAAAGAGTCAGAAATGTTTCAAAAGTGTGACTTTTAGTGTGTATGTGAAGTAAAACATGGAACCTTTAATATGGCAGACTCTCTGTGACATGGCTCAAAATAACAACTTATAATGAAATGTTCCACCTAGCATCAGAAACTCCATTCTCACATTGCTTTTGTAGAAACTTCAGGCAATGAGTTCAGATGTTTCAATAGGTTCTAGCCACCTCTCTGCTATTGGTGGCAGGAGGAAAAGATTAAATATCAGCCAGTAATTGCTGAAGAAGACATTATCCGTTTATTTAATGACTTATTAATATATTTCATCAGTATTTGTACTCAAAACACTGCAACATACTCTAAACAAAGTTTCTGTGACTGTGTTATATTGTTTTACAAATTAAGATAAATGGCATTATTACTAAGCAGTCACATAGCTTCGTCTCTTATCAGATTAAGTCTACAAACCAGTTTGCTTAAGAAAATGACATCTAGCACATTGTTTCAGAAATACATGGGCAACTGTCCTGTTGGTAGACTTATGTACTGAATATACTAGCAGACTTAATATTGACCATCAAGTGAGATGGAATCATTGATATGTGAATGTTCTAAGGAGCAAAAGTACGTCTCACATCAATCTGATATTTTGCTATGATATTTTGCCTTAAATTACACTGTCAGGTCTTACAACTCGGGTTAATTAAAATAAATTTTAAATAATGCAAATATCTTTAGGAGAAACCCACATAACAAAACTGAGGTAACAATCCTCAGAGTAAATTTTTAAAAATAAACTGTCTATGTTCAATAATTTTCTGATGATATGAACATGGAATGGAACAAAGGAGTGGGAAGATTCTACTTTAGCTCTGATAAGGAGTTCCAATGTGTCCTGGGCTGCAGCAAACCTGAGTGAGTGGAGAGAATGATGCTGAATGTGGAGATGGAGGACACTGGAAAAACTTCCCCCTCCTGATTTTACTTGGGGCCTTTCCTCCCTCCCTTTCCCTCTTCCTAATGGCACATATGCATGACATTAGTCAATCAATATTTTATAGACACTTAATATTTCCCACACTTTATGCACTTGAATAAAATACATCCTTAGAAACTGCACACATAAAAAAGCTGTTTGATTACTTTAGAATATTTTTAAACAGATAAGTTTTCCCTAATATATTTCAGTTACGAACATTTTTATGTCAACCTGTCATAGCAAAAACATTAGCATCATCCAAAGGGTCCAGGGAGACTTGGCTGAAGGATCACCTGGACTAGGAGAAGATGTGGTCTCTGATGAGTCATTTTCTCTTTCAGAGATGCTTGCGAGTGAGGGGGTAGTGGTGGAAGTCAGTAAGGGGCTAGTTGGAGGCAGAGCACTGGTAATTGCTGTGATGTTCAGTCCTTCTATATTAATGGGAGATGGAAAAAAAGAAGAAATAAATACATGAATCATCCTGAAACACAAAGTCACCTGAATATACCAACTCTCTAGTCCATTATAATGTGTATGCCACACGTGTGTGTCATAGACATGTTGTGAGTGCAAATACAAGTGCATGCGGAAATACAATATGCAGACTTAGATAATAAACCAAGCTACAAAATAGTAGCAAGAGATAGAAGTGGGGAAAATGGTCTTAAAAACATCTTTCCTTTGCTGCCTTCCCATTAAATTTCTGGGTTTTTCAAAGCATTTGGATTCAGAAGGATGGAGAACAATGGGCAAAGATGCTTAAAGGAAATTTTTAAAAAACTTTTAGATGAAGAAAATGAAGGAGAAAGATAAAGTCAGAAAAAGGTTATCAGGAGAAACAAGATTCCAAGAGGAAAAAAGAAAAGACAAAAATTCTAGATACACACAGATTTCTAAAAAAATAAATAAAATGTAATCAAAGCAAAAAAAAAGTGTGGGTAAAGGAAAACAAAACAAAATTCACAAATAGGTATACAAATGACCCATATTTATGAAAATATCAACATATCTTCAACTTTATGATAACAAAAGAAACACAATTTAAGGTACAGAAGTAATATTTTCCACAGTTCAAATTTGCTTTAAAAAGAGGAGAAAAGTGACCAATTAATAGTGAAATAAGTACCTGCACAATTGATATGTATGTGCACTTGGGAACAATTTTCTTCAGGGTAAATTAGCACTGCATATGCAAGGCCTTTAAATTTGCCTGTGGTTTTTGAATGAACAAATCTATTTCTTTATGAAAGAATAGGGAAATATACCAAATTGCTTATTTTTAAACTTACATGTGATTTCTGGAATTCTAGAAATTAATGTTTTCTAATTTTTCTGTTTAACATGTATTAATTTCTTTGAATAGAAAATTATACATTTTCAAATATTCAATTAATCAAAACTAAAATATTACACAATTACTGAAATTAATTCAGTTCAAAGGTTAGGTGAAAGAAAACGGCATAAATATGGGAAGATGGAAAGATTGGGAAAACTATAAAAGAAGTGGGGAGATGAGAAAAAGAACTAAAATTGAGATATTTCTGATTAGAAAATTAAGAAAATATAAATAGGAATGACAGGAAGAAACCCTAGTTTCATCCATTAATGCTGAAAGTAAATTTTCACTAAATATGGATAAAACCAATCTGAGTCATACTGAACTGCAAATACATGGGAAATATCACAGAATTATTCTGTGATTACAGAAATCCAAAGTCCTAGTGCACTTGTTACATGAGTTATTTTCCAATGATAATATTCACTATCTAGAATTATATAACCAAGTAACTCACAATTCAATCCATTTAGTAACAAACTTTCACTCATAATTATTTGCCAACATAACCAATGAAACAATGAGCCAGTAGCTACTTCCAGTCTTTGGAGTCCAATTGAAAGCCTAACCATAGTATTTTCCTATCTACTATTCACTGAATAAAAGGGAAGGAAGGTAAGGGAAAAGAAAAGAGAAGTGAAGAGGAGAGGAGAGCAAGGGAGGGAGGAAGGACTGAGCTTAATATTCTATTCACCAATGTTTGCTCACAATTCAGACATGGCAACTATTCATGTGTTATTTTTAGGTTAGATCAACTTTTGGTGTTGGCAGGATTCCAATGATCCCTTTTGCTCTGAGAGAAATGTTGCAACAAGCTCTCTTTAGCATCCACTCCCACTCTTTTGTTAGATTTGAATTACAAGGAAACTTTAGAAGGAGAATCAGTCCAAACACCCAATATAACAAACAATGCTATGCGATTTTGAAGAGTGGCATTTCTTTTTTTTTTTAATATTTATTTTTTAGTTGCAGTTGGACACAATACCTTTATTTTATTTACTTATTTTTATGTGGTGCTGAGGATTGAGCCCAGGGCTTCACATGTGCTAGGTGAGCACTCTACCACTGAGCCACAACCCCAGCCCGGAAAAGTGGCATTTCTAAAGACTTTACTTCCAACAAAGCAAATTCACTCCTGGTATGTGGAGCTTGGTGTTCAGAGAACTGTTCTCCCATATAGAAGTCTCCATATCCTTGCACATACTTAAGCTCTAGTTTCACAAATAGAAAGTTAAGATTAGGAAATATGCTTCAGTTGCCAATTTCACTTTGTCTCCAAACCATCTCTTTGATGAGATTATTGGTTCCGAGTGCTAACATTCTTGTTGACAATATTACGGAGAGAACATTCTCTTTTGCATAATGTGTTACAATTTTAACTCACCAGTTTTTATCATTTGAAGATTTATGACTGCAGAGTCAGGACAGAGAAAATGGAAGCTCCCTCACAATGGTACCAAGTCATCTACCATTTTAAACACTGATACCTTGTTCTACCACATATCCATCTCTCTACAAAAACAGTTGTCAATAAGATTGAGCATAACCTAATAGTCTATGAAAGAGGTGCTAACTTTCATTTGAGAAGATGTCCTAAATCAATCACAACCTGTTATTCAGAAAGGACCTAAATTCCATTAGACCTTTTGAAAATTAAAAGAATAAAAAAATAAAAAATAAAAAAATTTAAAGAAAATACTTCTTACACAGATTTGGGAGTGTTTTCATTAGTGTTGGAGTAGATTTTGTTTTCATTATTGGGAAAGAATTTTTGTTTAATGACAAAAATAATTCCTATAATTATCCAATTTTCAGAATATGTCAAATGTGCCAACTTTAGAATTGTGTGTTACAATTATTAAGTCAGAATTGTATCAGTGATTTACATAACTTCTCAGTGAATACTGTCAATTGTATTTTTAATCAGGAAATAAATAGTACATTTTCAATAATGATAACATTTAAGTTACATGATTTATCTTTAACTGCCTGCAATTTAATTTCTC